TACGGATTCAAAGCAGAAATAAAAGTAGGTACTCTCGCATACGGAGAACCTAAAAACGTATTCGATATCGGCGAAACGCAAGAGTTTTCTTTTCGAGGTAATTGTCTGATTCAAATAGAGTTTCCCATGAAGGTTAAAGTCAATAAAGTAGTCTTCAAACAAACCGGTAAGGGCGTCAAACATATTTCATTATTCAATGATGGTAATTTGGAAGAGAATATACGTTTGATTGATAAAAGGGATCAGGAAATTGAAACGAAAAATGGTAAATATGTAGACACCTTTAAAATGAAAGTAGGAAATGATAAGGATATCATTGGAATCAAAGATTTGGATATGATATTGGAGACGGAAAATCCACCATTAACCAACATTGTCAAAATTCCACCATCACTTATAATACCCGTATACGTACCCGGACCAATAGAATCGAGCAGTCACGAGTTTTTACGAACAACAGACTTTGAATACGTAAAACTGTATTTTGTTTTAGGTGGAAAATACACCTCGATCGATGTTCATAAAAGTCAACAAGAAAGAGAGTTTATAATACATGTATCGTTTGCCGAAGGTTCCGATCTATCCTCGAAGGTGGTGGTTACAAAGAAATGTCGTTAGTACGCGTAAATGTTTTTACTTTTAATACCCGCAAATATGATAATGCTAGACCAAACAAGGAGGCTCTATACGATATTCCGTGGATCCATTTATCGGAAATTCACTTAATTTAACGACTTAAAAAATGGAACTCGAAAGCAGACAACAATACATGATAGACAAACAAGAAGAGTTGAAAATAAAGTTGAGACAGTACAATTCATGCAGGAAAACATGGAGTAGAATCGATTCTGTTTTCAAAACAGCGAGTGTAGTTCTAACGATAGGAACAACACTTGCAACGGCCGTGACTGGTGGATTAATGGTTCCTGTACTTGTCCCAACTGTATTAGCCACAATTACTGCTATTCAAACTTCATCTTGTGGCTTGATTGCTATAGGTTTCACGAGCAAAAAGAAAGCTCATTATAAAAAGAAAACGGATATCTTGAATATGTATCTTAATCAATTGTACATCTTTTTCGAAAGATCAAGAGAAGACAAGAACATAAGAGTTGAAGAATTACAAGAATTCAATGAAATTTTGGACAAATTCCATACAGAAATATCAGCGGTCAAAATAAAGAAATAATAAAAAATATACACTTAAAAAAATATGATTAAAATCGAACTTGATGAAACATTGATAGAAAACGCCCTATTTTCCGATGTTATCAAGGCTATCTCTGATAAATTTAAAACATTCAAAGGACAAATTAAAATAGATGGAGAGATAGTCGAGGAAGGGAATCACAGACAATACATGTCACTCCTCGGTTTCAATGCCAAAACCTTTCACAATATTTTTTCAAATATGGACAAAAAATCCGATGCTTCCGATTGGTATTTTACAGGAAAAATAATTTTAATGAAAGACAATTTCCAAGAAATCAAAAGGTCGAGAGTTGGCAAAGGAGGAACTGATCTGCTTAAAAAGATAAATGAATACGAAGGCGAAAATTGTTACATACCTACAGATGATCACTGTTTTATCAAATGCGTCAATCGTGTTTTGAACAAAGATTTAACGTGTAAATTTCAAGAATACATCAACGGGTTTTCAAAAGCAAATAGAAAAGGAGTGATGACTTGTGCTAGAATGAATGAATTCA